GCCTGGATGTGATGAGCAGCTTGGCACTCTAGTATCCCCTCTACCCCCGCTTTCTTTCCTTATTCTCCGCACTTCCTCCATTCCCATCCCCTGCCTTCTTGTTCTGTAGCGGAGAGGATAGGTTTCCAACTGTGGGTGGGCTGCAGTCAGAAGTTGCAGATCCCCCCCCCCGCCCCGCTCCATGCCATCTTTCTGGGTATGTACGGATCCTGGGAAAACATTGAACCTGGAATATTGACTACTAGAATGGAGAGATGTGGATTAAGAAAAGGAGATTCTTACTCCCCTGCATAAACTGGGTTGCTGATTGCAGGCAAAGCCACCAGCCTGTCTCATCACAGAGAAAACTAGGACAGAAGACAGACAAGGTGGTTTGCTTGCATCTGGGGATGAAGACAGCCTATGTGCACGTGCTTTGACTAGTGTGAAGTTTCCCTATGTCCCAGCATGTCAGAACTGGGATGTGGCATTTCATTTGGGGGGAGAGGAATCAGCTGACTTCTCAGGAGCTCTACCAGTGGCTTTTTCCTCCCTCTGTAATGGTTGCATCTTGCATTCCATGGACTCAGCTTGTTTTTCTTCAAAGCAGTGATAGTTGATGATTATCTTCTTATGGGTAATTTTAGCAGCGTATAATGGACATGGATTCGCCTCATCTGGCTTAAAAGGGAAAGAGCATTTAGTTTCTAAAGTTGAACGGAATATTTTTGCCTTTTTATTTCTGCATCTACCAGGTTCTCTGTACCTATAATCTTGAGGAGTATGTAATGCTGGACTTCAAAGCTCTTCTAAGTTGGGATGGATGGAGCGCCGTGTCTCAGAAAGGCTGTGGCCATAGGTGTAGGACTGTGCTGACAGCAGTGGATGGCTGTCTGTTCCTGTACAGAATCCATTGCCTGTGTTTCTCTCAGTCATAAATTCCTTGAGAGCAGAGACCTTATGTGGTTCTCAGCAAAGATGCCCACTTCTCTGAGTCCGAGTGCCAACCCCGGGTAATGTTTAGGGCTTCCTCAGCCTTCCTGGCCCCACATCTGGGTTCTCTGCACACTTGAAAAAAGATGTAGCCCTCTCACACCCCAGTGGGGCCTCCCAGATCCCAGTTCAGCAAAGCATGACTCTAGATCATAGGAAAAGCGTCTCAGGCCAGAAGGACCCGCGCATGCCATCCAGCTGTGGGTGAGTGCTTCCTGTGGCGTCCCTGCCACCAGCTGGCCATGACGGTGGACAGTTCCTCCTTGGGAGGAACTGAAGCATGGCTCTGGGTTCCCTTCCTCTTGGTCTACCCCTTGCACAACTGCTCTCTGAGAAGCAGTGTGGTTAGTGAATGAAGGAGAGCACTCCCCAACTAGGTTTTGCTCAGAAGTGCTCTGAATGCTTCAACCCACCACTTTACCTTTGACAGTTCCTTCTAGCAACTTCCCAATTTCCTGTTTGTTTTATAAAGCTCACCAGCTGTGGTTTAGGGTGTCCATTTGCATAGCTGAGCATTAGACTAATCCTAGCATTTGCTTTAAAAATACAAATAAAAAGCAAAATAGAAAAAAAAAACCATGATGGTGAGGTGGTATTTAATTCCAGGGCATGCTTCCCAGTTCCAAATTACCAAGATGGGGCTAGTGCCCCTCGTGGCATTAATACACCTGATATGCTTGGGCAGGACCAGCCTGTCTTGGGATGATGGAATGCCTGTGAGCAGTGTAGTCCTCTCCCCTCTGCAGCTGCCCCCAAATCCTGTCATGTTTCAGCCAGCTACTAGACAACAGGAGCCACAGTTTTGGATTGCCCAGATCTGGCATTGCCACCAGACCCTCTGAGTGGCCTGTCCTCCATTCACAGCCAGCTTAATTTGATTCCTGGGTCCAGCAGAGGCAACATCCAATGTGACTGAAGGTATGAGTGGAGAAAGAGGAAAGGGCAGAGCAGACAAAGAGAGAGGACACAGATGGTTGGGTGTAGCTCTTGCCCCTGGCTTCTGGTTAGCACTGGTGCTTTAGCCTAGCATGTAAGCTGGACTGGAAGAGGAGGATGGAAACAGTCTTCCTACATGCATTGGCCATGCCTGGCTTTTCCAGCCTACAGCAGAGGAGTTCCTGAGCTCTTATCCCCTGCTTGATTGTGGCTTACTCCCCAAGCCCTCCAGTGCCTTGCGGGGAGATGACTAGCGAGGCGACTCTAATGAAGGACCCGCCAGGGTCAGCCGGAAGAGCCATCCATCAGTGTGCTCTGTCTCCTTCCGAATCTCCTGGCGGGGCTGCAGCTGGCAGCCGGGGTTTGGCAGTGAATCCACAATTGGAGTCCGAGTCATTAAGAAACCATTAATGTCTCTTTGCATGGCTGTTGTTGAGTGCAACGGTACTCATTAGAAAGCGGCAGGGCAGGGAGGTGTTGATGAGAACGAACACACAAACATACACACACACACACACACAGTGGGAATGGTGCTGCAGTGGAGATGAGGAGGCAGGGCCAGCTGGGTGGGGGTGGAGAAGGGGAGCTGGGCCCCGCTGTTCTCCCTGGAGACAGCCATCATTGTTTCCCACTGGCTGCCTTGTGCCACGGTTTCCTCCTCTCCCCCCTCCACCCCCTCAGGGAGAGAGATGGGCTTGGCTGAAGTGTCCTTAGGAACACCCAGAATGAGCGATGTGATTATTGTCAGGTACTTGTGGGATTGTGCTCCTAGAAAGCAGCGCTCACCCAAGACCTGGTTTCCCCAGAGACATGTCAACTCTGGGTGCCTCCTAGATAGATTCTGCTGATGGGTACTTTCCCCTAGCTTCCATCCCTGCAATGGGTAACCCTCCCCCTTGTGCATTTGAATGTCTCCGGTGATGAGCGAGGAGGTGGGCAGCTCTTGAGGCCCTTCTGAAATGGCTAATGCTTCTGGAGTCTCAGTGTCTTGCAGGTGTATTCCTCTTCCTTGGAAGGCCTTGGTTAGAAGCTTTCCACCTGGAATCTTACCTGGTAATCAGTGCTACTAAATCCAGTAGCCCTTGGCCATCCTTCTCCCTCAGGGAATGAAGGTGGGAACCAAGATCAAGGAAGCTCCATGCAGTGACTGGGCCTGTGGTAGGAAAACGTGTGCCCTGCACAGGACAGACAGTGTGGACATAGTTTCGGAAAACACCTTTTGTCAGCTGAGCGGCCACCACGACCCAGTGTTTGGAAGTGGCTTTACTGCTCATGTGCACCTTGCCTCTTAACTCAAAGTGTGTGTCCCATTTTCTGAGTTTCTCTAGACACTCCTGTCAGCACCATAGGAAGCATCATCTTTGTCCTCAGTCAACACCACTGGTGGGGATGACCCAGGGGCGGCCTCTCTCCTTGGCCGCTCTCTCTGAAAGCATGCGTGATTTGTGACACCCCAGCAAGCTGTGAAATGGCCTCGCCTGCTGGTACACAGGCAGCCAGCTCTATCTTATGAACCAGTGACTAGGTCCTGGACTTTTCTTCGAGGCCCCCCCCACTGCAGCCTTCTGGCCTGTAGGGGCAGTGCCTTCTTCTTAGCTAACTCAAGTGTTTGGAGAGATGGTTCTGTTCTCTGGTTCTGGCAGTGTCCTCAGAGAGTCCCAGATGCAGCTGTGGTCTCTCAGGCAGGTGGGCTGATTTAGGAAGGCTGAGGCCTTAGAGGCAGGTGTTCAAGCAGTGTTTTCTTCTATGCTCTGGCAGCTTGGGCCGTTTGGTACACAGCTCCTTATCATGGTGTAGACTCACATGCAGAGTGGCCCACAGGAAAAGGGCCACTTCAACTGCTAGTTAAAAAAGATACATGGTTTGTGGCCAGGGAGGTGGTAAGTGAAGCTAGAGGTGCATGATGGGCAGTCTGTGATCTGTGGACTTCCTTCCACCCTCTGGCTGGCTCCCTTGGAGATGAGTCGTTGAAGAGCTGCGTAGATCAATGGTTACTCTGGCTACAAAGGGTGTGTGTGAGAAGATGGAAGTGGCTATACCTTGTCGGTGGAGTGCTTTGACTTGACCTTTCCCTTCCCGCACATTGTGCTTACCTTCACACAAGCGCGTCCATGTCTCACACAGTCATTTCCATGTGGATGGATCCCTTCACACACTTCCATACTACCTCACAAACCCAGTTCTTGCCCTCGTGACTTGCCATACATGGGGGCAACTCTAGGGTTTCCAGAGCTCAGACCCTCAGGCGCTCCCTCGACCCCATGCGGCCATCCTGGCCTTGGCTTTTATAGAATTTGGGCCTAACGTATCTTGGACTAGCAAGAAAGCTAAGTGGCTTGAGTGATAAGCTCTCTACGCGTGTTCTGCCTTCCAAAGAGGCAGTGCCCGTTTAGGTGAGATATGACTAGTGGAGTTCCAAGGTCTGATGAACCCAGTGGTGCCTGTGCCACATCCATGGCCAGGGAAGGGCTGGTGGTTGGTTGCTAGACTGTGCATTCACCCGAGTGTCCACCTTACAGGCATCTCTACCCAGCTCTGGGGACTGGTTGGGTTCTTTGTCTCATTCTCCCAATGCAGAGGATGCTCCCTGTAAGCAGGGAGGGTTGTCAGTACCTCCACTCTGCCTGCCCAGAAGCCAAGCATTTAGGATGGGGAGAACATCTCCTCCAGAGGACCCAGCTTCCTCCAGAAAGGATAGAAAGGGGAAGGGAGGGAGACAATTGGTGAGATCCCCAGATGCAGCTGGAGGTGTAGATCCCTCGGACCTGCCTTACGGAGATGCCTCTGCCTGGTTTCCTCTTGAATCCTACTGCAGCCAAGCCCTGCTTAGGCATCTGAGAGGAGGGTCTCATCCCATCCTAACTGGGACCAGGCTGGCTGAGAAGTCCTTGGGACAAGGGGTGCCTCCCAGGGCGCCAGCAATGTGCCCCAGCCCTTTCGTTTTGAACTAGTTTCTAGGTGGCAGCCTCCATCCTTCCTCCTTCCCCCATGTGGGCTCATGGAACTACCAGGAACCACCATGGGAGTGGTGGGCTCTGGGCCAGATCCTGGCAGATCCCAGGCAGCTCTGAATCCCTTTCTCTCCTCTGCAGTGTCTTAGATGATGAGGGCAGCAACCTGAGGCAGCAGAAGCTTGACCGGCAGGTGAGTGGAGCTGGTGGAAGGGCACAGGCTGGGCTGGGTCTCTGAGGGCAGAGGGGCTTTGTCCCTCCCTCCCTGCCGGGTCTCTTATATGATGGTGCTCAGCATTAACCCAGTACATAAGGCCTTTCCAAGGCAAGTGGCCAGAGCTGCTGCTCCTGCAGGACTGGGCTCTGTGCTGTGAGCCTGCCAAGGTAGCCACTTGGGCTGGATTCTGCCACCCTTTCCTGGACCCCCAACTCCGAGAGGAGGCCCAGAGGGCACTTGGGAACCCAGCCCCACTCTGGCAGCAGTGATGGGTGAGCTCCCCCCACCCCCAGTGCCTACCCTGTGCCTCTGTAGCGGGCACTGCTGGAACAGAAGCAGAAGAAGAAGCGCCAGGAGCCCCTGATGGTGCAGGCCAACGCAGATGGGCGGCCCCGGAGTCGGCGGGCCCGGCAGTCCGAGGAGCAAGCCCCCTTGGTGGAGTCCTACCTCAGCAGCAGCGGCAGCACCAGCTATCAAGGTACACCAGCCCTCCCCCTAGTGACAGACTGGAAGACACTGCTGTCTGTCACTGCTCCATACCCCAGCACCACTTTGGAGAGGCCTGTCCGTTTGTTCAGGCAGTCTGAGTACGGCTCCCAGCCCAGCTGCACAGCAGAGAGTGCAGCAGCTTACGAGATACCAAGATCTATGATCTTAGACTCCCAAGTGAACTCAAGCTGTGTCCTCCTGAGTCAGGTGTGGGGACCAGAAGGCTACACCTTTATGGATCCAGAGATCAGTTTGTGATGTGGAACATTTTATTCACTGCCTCATTTAGGAGGCAGCTCTTGAAAGTAGAACAGTGCCTGCTCCCCACCCATTCTCTTCTCAGAAGAAGCCATTTCTCAGCATCCTGCCCCGTACAAGCTAGGACCTCCCGAGACAACATCTCTTTCCTTCTCCCAGAGCGCTCTCCACCCTCGGTCCTCCTGGCTTCTCACTTGCAGATTTCTGCCCCTGGCTCAAGACTTCTGTAGAGCTTCAACAACCTCACCTCAGCCCCCCGCTCCCATCTATACACACTCAGGAAAGGCTGCAGCTCATCTGGGACAGGGGGTCGCTCCTTTATCTCCCAGACACCCCCTCATCATCGTTATTACCCCAAGCCAAAGAATGGGGGAGACACAGACAGACACAGCCACCACTGCCCCCTGCTGGGCTAGTGCTAGCCATGCAGGTGTTTACTCGATCATGTATCGTGGATAGTACCAGCTGTAACAAGGCTGCAAGCCTCTGGCTTTGCAGGGAGCAAGAACTTGAGCAACTATAGTACTCCCCTCCCCAGGGGGCTACTTTCACACCCGGAACTTCAGCCACATGGAACTGCCGCTAGTTTGCTCACCTCAGAAAACTAATTGCTCGCCTCCCTGCCGCTCAGTGCCTCAGATTCTTCTCTGACTTCTGCTAACACAGACTTCACACACACACACACACACACACACACGTCTCATTGGCCTACTGCCTATGCTGTGACATCACATACTCAGTCCCCTCTGTGTGCATGTAGATTCTTGAGGAAAGTCTTCATTTACAATAATGAAGATTGCTTTTAGGCATTTACCAGGACTAAGCATGACGCTAGGTGTTATACTGCATTTTGACTTGATCTTCACTATCCCCCATGTTTGGGCAACTTGCCTATAGTGCATGGCTAGGGAGCAGTAGGGCTAGACTTTGATCCAGGCTTGTCAGACTCCAAATGGTCTTTCTACAAAATTGTGGTGCCTCCTCAAAGAGAAGCTCCTTCATAATTCCTTTCTGTGTTCAGCATCCTGAGTCAGACCAAGTATGTCTCTACCCCACTTCAGAGGCTCTGCAGGAGAGAATGGGGGCCTCAGCCCATCTGCCTTAAGAAAAGCTGCTACACACAGCCTCTTTCTCTACTTCTATGTGGCAGTCATACCTAGGATGGCTGTGGCACCTTGCAGGGAGGGCAGCCACTAACTGGGGTCCTATGGAGCTTAGCCAGAGAGTGCAGCAGCTTAGTCCCAGCTCTGTCAAGCCTGACACCTGAACCATGGAAGCTGCATATGAGGTGGGAGTCTCCACTCAGATGTGAGGACCCTGCCTTAAGAAGTCACTGATGTGCAGATTTGGCAGATGTTTCTGTGGACCAAGGCTGCAGGAAGGCTGGAGTAAGAGAGGCAACACCTCCAGGGACATGTGTCACTGAGTCAGGAGACAGTTTCTGTCTTGCTATTACCAATTACCTGCTCACTTCGTTGACAGTGAGAACAAAGCACTTATCCTTTCCTGGTCTATTTTCTCCACTATAAAATGTAGTGGGGGGGGCAAGAATTTGTCTTAGGACTTCAAAAACAAGAACTGTAGTGTGTTTTAGCATCCAAACTCAGCCAATTACTGTTCCCTGCAGGCTTCAGACCAGGTAGGGCCTCCAGGGGCCTTCCGCCTGGAAACTGCGGTCATCTGTCAGGTACATGCTACTTCTGTGCAGCCCAGTCACTGTCCAGCTCTAAGTAGTGGACAAAGCCTTGGGGAGGCTGCAGCACAGCTGGCCATCGGTCCTGGACATTGGTGTTTCAGAGACCATCTCTTCCCTCTCATTCCTTGGCTGCTTCCTGCCTTGCCCTGCCCTCTGCTGGTTCTTGGTGGTAAATGCAGGGGGTTCATTTCAAGGAAAACGAGCAAGTTTGACCTGTATCAGAACTAGCAGTTCATCCCAGTGAAAATTCTTGGTCTACTGGCTGTAATTATTCATGCACATTCCATTCACTTCTTTCATATCTATTGAGGACCTTCTTTGCATTAGGCTCTGGATTAAGACTATGGATCCTGGGTGAGCACACACAGGTAAAGGTCTCTGCTTTATAGACCTTATGGTCTATGTTAAAGAGATGGTCATAGCTACACTTTGTGGAATGAAGCCAAGCTCTGGGGAGGGGGTGACAGGAGTTGGGGACGGCTTCCTTGAGCTGGAATTTAATCAGACAGGGAGAGCAATGCAGTGGGAACAGTCAGAGCAAGTGTTGGTGAAGGAGAATGTGGTTCGTGCAAGACACTGAGCAAGCCTAGAGTGCCTGGGGGTGGAGTGGGTAGTTGGACCAAGGGGAAGAGAGATGGAGAAGTCAGCCATGCAGGAGAATGTTGGTCTCAATCTTCAGAGCAATCTGAAACTGTTCATGTATTTTGAGTAGCTCAGGGTCTTGGTATGTGGAGGCCGTGGAGGCACTGGCTGTAACCTCTCTGAAGCCTTCCTGTTGGTGTGTAACTTCTCACACCAAGCTGCCCTTCCTGTGGGTGCTCCCTCTGCTTTCACCTGGGGTCTGGAGCGCTGTCCCTGGTTATGGTCTCTTCCAGAAGATGCGGCGTTTGTGTCCTCCCCATCCATCTTCCATGGCCTGATGTTGGGTCACACGTGAGGTCTGAGAGAAAGTGGAGTATGACTCCAAACAGTTCTCACAGACATCGCCCTGACCCTGCCAGGCCTCAGAACAGTTTGTGACCCAGGACTTTGGTTGTTCTGCCTTGTCCCTGATCATAGCTTTGGCCTGCCCTGGATCTTGGCATGGAGATGAATGGGCCTAGCTCTGCAGGCACCAAAGTGATGTGGGGTAGGGGGCAGAAGGTGCTGGGCGGGATCTGTGATGGAGTGGATGAGCGGGTTTTATGCAATGCTCAGTTTCTCTCTGTCTTGGGTTTTTCTGAGCAGTTCAAGAGGCCGACTCACTTGCCAGTGTGCAGCTGGGAGCCACCCACCCACCAGCACCAGCCTCAGCCAAGAGAACCAAGGCAGCAACTGCATCAGGGGGCCAGGGTGGGGCCTCTAGGAAAGAGAAGAAGGGGAAGCACAAAGGTTAGTGTGCTTTCTCCATGGATCTGCCCCTCCTTCCGCTGTGGGCTTGGGGGAGGCAAGGGACCAACAGTCTCAGTCAATGTGTAGAGTCAAGGTGCCTATTCAGAGCACCTGGGCTGGCTGTGGGTGAGGGCATGCCTGCTACACTGTCATTAGTCCACCCTAGCCATGGCCCAGATCACCCCTTCCTCCTACCCTACCTCAGTCTGAGCTCTCTCCATCCTAGCCTCTGGCCATTACACCTAATCCAGGCCACCTGCTCCAGGCCTGTGCGGCATTCCCCATCCATGCTTCTTTCTAATATGGGCTTCTCTCACAACCAGACCATTCCTGCTCCTCTCTTTCCAGTAAAGATTTCTAGGGATCAAGGAAAGCAATGATGGTGGTCCCTACCCATGTCCAGTGTCCTGGCTAGATTCTGCTTCCTCAACCCTTGTCCATAGGCAGTGATTTTTCAGGCCACCATCATTGTAGGACAGTGGTGTATCAGGGTTCACTGCAACACTGAGCATAGCTCAGCCAGACAGAGGAACTACCACTTATTTGAGCTGGACCTTGCTTTTGTTATGAACCTGTGGCCACTTGGGCTGGAAAGCTGACATAGGCTTGGAGATCCTCTGCCCGGAAGACAAATGTTTGCCCAGCAAAGCCTTTTATCAGAGGGCTCTGTGTTTTAAATGTGTGTGAGTACTTTGTATGTCTGTATGTGAGAAAAAGATAAACACCAGCCTCTGATATCTTGTCACTGGCCATGTCCATGAATGGTTGTTGGCCTCAACTGTGGTCTGAATTGATCCTTGTTCTCCATCTTGTTTTCTCCACCATGTAGCTGGTTTTATAGTGACTGCTGCCTATCTTAAGGATGTGAGGTATTTGAAACCATCTCTTGGCAATTTATCTTGGAAGACCAGATGAAGCCCAAATCCCTTCACAGCTTACCAATCACTAGCAGGCGGACAGCAGTCATTTTTTAAAAAATCAGTTTTATGAATCAGTTTTGCAGAGGGTCTCTGATCCCTTACTCGGGTCTTCATGGATGTCTGGGAATCCAGGCCCTCCTCTCCCTCTGGATGTAACTCAGGAGTGTCTGGCCTGCAGGCACCAGCGGGCCAGCAACACTGGCAGAAGACAAGTCTGAGGCCCAAGGCCCAGTGCAGATCCTGACTGTGGGCCAGTCAGACCACGCCCAGGACGCGGGGGAGACAGCAGCCGGTGGGGGCCCACGGCCCAGCGGGCAGGACCTCCGTGCCAAGATGCAGAGGAAGGGTGAGCCCCATGGGGGCCCAGCTGGGACCGAAGCTCAGTCCCAGATTCTCAGTTGCACCCTTCTCCAGGAGCATGGCTGTCCTGTGTCTGGTCTAGCCTCTACCAGGCAGTGGGGGAGGGGCACACTTGGAGAGAAGCTTTAGGGCAGGAACTTCTGTTAAGGCCAAATAAGGGAAAGAAGCATGACCTGGAGTAACCAACCTGTGTTCTCCCAGGAGGCCCATGTTTAGGGAAAATATTTCCTTTTGCCTCTTAGAAAAAGCTCCTTTGGAAAGAAGGTACCCATGTGTCCACTGTGCTAGCAGTGAGCAGGGCCAGGATGCTGAGATGCTAGGACTGGCCACCCTAAAAATCTGCTGCCCGGCACTTGCCCAGCACGAGCCCTCAGGAGCCCGTTACAAGGTAGCAGAGGAAAGAAGTCTAGTAGAACCACATACATTGAGATGAACTGACTGAAGGATAGCTTACTGAGAAAGGGCTATCGAGACAATTTGGGAATAGGTGGCATTTCAGATGGGGGAAGACAGCTGACACCGAGGCTTTGGGCTGGCAGGGAAGGAAGAGTCAGAGTGCCCTGCACATTGCTGAGTGAGCTGAAGCCTTTTCCCTGGCAGTGTCCATGGTCTATGCCAGCCAAGGCCTTGAGGAAGTTAAGGTCATGGTCAGAAATGGAGAATCCCTGTTGGAAAGTTCAGCTCAGTACAGGCCTGGTAACCCAAGACAGGAGAGGGGCAGATACAGGGACTGAGCTGAAACTGGGTGGTGGGAATACGTCCTTAGGATGGTGACTACTCCCATCGCCTGTGCTCATGAGAGAACACGTGTCCTTGTGTATGTCTGGAGGTGTGGGAGTATGTGAGCAGAGCCTGTGTGTGCATCTGGCTGGGTGAGAATGTCAGTGTCTGAACATGTGTCTTTGTGTGTGACCATCTATATGCTGGAGATAGATTCCTCATGTCAAGCCTTCCTGTTCCTCTGCTCTCCCCAGGCATCTCCAGTAGCATGAGCTTTGATGAAGAGGAGGAGGATGAGGATGAGAATAGCTCGAGCTCTTCCCAGCTGAACAGCAACACCCGCCCTAGCTCTGCCACTAGCAGGAAGTCTGTCAGGGTGAGTGAGGGGCTTTCCTCCATGCAGGAGGCCAGAGACTGTTCAGGACTGCCCATCCAAAGGTGGAGGACTAAGCATGGCAACTTGATAGGGAGCTGGCTCTCAAGGGCTGCGGTCAGACACAGGTGTCTGGGCTCTTCTGCCCTTCCACCCTGCCGCCTAATCTTTTCAGCAGGGCTGGGGGCCCCAGTTAGGCAGGACTCCTGAGGGTTGTATCTCTATCACCACAGGGATCCTGCACCACTGCCCACCACCACATCATGAGGCAGATTTGGATCCCAGCACCAGATTGGGTTGCTTAGGGTCTCTGGGGCTCAAACTCCCAATTCTCCATCCCCACAGGAGGCAGCCTCAGCCCCCAGCCCAACAGCTCCAGAGCCACTGGCCGACGTGGAGGTCCAGGATCTTGAAGAGTTTGGACTGAGGCCAGCACCCCAGGGTATCACCATCAAATGCCGCATCACTCGAGACAAAAAGGGGATGGACCGGGGCATGTACCCTACTTACTTCCTGCACCTGGATCGAGAGGATGGGAAGAAGGTGAGGCGCTTTTGAGCATGCATTTTCCTCTACGCAGGCTTGAGGGCCTGGTGACGACAATGTGGAGTCTCAGTCCAGCAATGACCTCTCAGCTCTGCGGAGGAACTGAAGCCTCTGCGCCTGCTCTGCAGAATGGTGTTTGCTTGTGCACTCAGATGCAGTGGGGACATGAAGCCAGGGGGTCAGCTTGTGTTTGTAGTTCCCTTGCGTGTGTGTGTACCAGAGGCTGGGTCGGTCTTGAACATGCTCCTTTCCCACTACCCAAGGTGTTCCTCCTGGCGGGAAGGAAGAGAAAGAAGAGTAAAACTTCCAATTACCTCATCTCCGTGGACCCAACAGACTTGTCTCGAGGAGGGGACAGCTACATTGGGAAATTGAGGTACCTGCATTCCCCATGATGGGAGAGAAGGAGGGCAAAGCAGGGTAGACTGTCTGTAGAGAACATCTCAGCCCTGAAGATCTAGGCCAGGGTTGAATCCTCCGTTTGTCAGAAGCCCTCCACCCAGAAGCCCAGTCTGTGTTCCCCCGGGGAGCCAGCCGCATGTTGATGCAGGTGCTCCCAGGCAGGCAGGTACCGGCCCAACATGAGACAATAACCTCAGGATGTCAGTGATGATGTAGGCCACCATGGAAGAGCTGCCTAGGCTTTCCAGTCATAGCCAAAGGTGCAGGGTAATCTCTCAGGCATTGAGAGGTAGGCAAGTACCAAATTTTAGAAGCTTTAGTGAAGAGTTCGAGTAAATAGCTAAAGGTAGAGATGGGGCTGGATGGGACAGAGGCAATCACCCGTTCTTGTGGGGTGCCAAGTTCCCCCAGAGAAACCTTTGGAATTCCAGGTACTCCCTGTATTTCCTTCATTGGAATGCGATGTTCTCTGAGGCTACTGAGAGGAAGCTCAGGCCTCTGCTTAGGAAATACCTTTAAAGATGTGTACCCTAAACACTATGTCCCTCCATCCCCTCCAGGTCTGGCCCTGGCCTAATCAGTGTAATTTCCAGGGTCCTTGTGAGCTATTCCATGTCTTGAAACCTATATTGATTATGGCCTATATTGATTATGCCTTTATTTCAGGTCCAACCTGATGGGCACCAAGTTCACAGTTTATGACAATGGAGTCAACCCTCAGAAGGCATCATCCTCTACTTTGGAAAGTGGAACCTTGCGCCAGGAGCTGGCAGCTGTATGCTATGTAAGTCCTGGGTTCCAAGATCTCTGAGGTAGACATGAAAGTAGAATGTGATGCCTGATCTGGAGGCCACCCCGTCTATCTTGGTGAACAGTCAGGCTGTGTAGAGTGTTTCTGCCAAGAGGGGCTCAGATCACAGCAGGGGAGCTCTAGAGACCACTGCTGGCTCTTTGCAGTCTAGCCTGGAGTCTCCCAGACAGGAGGCAGGCAATGGAGATTCTTATCTGGGTTTCTCTTGTATCACTCTGAAATGCAGGGCTTGAATGGGTCACATGCTCTCTTTATTATCATCCTACTGAATGTTCAACCTACAGGGTATTCTGTTTTCTTTCTAGACAGCCAACTGAAGCTCAGAGGTGTTCACTTGCTAAAAATATGTCAACCAAAGTGGAATATAAAAACCTCTCTCTCTCAAGCTCATCTTTTTCAGTTTTCAAAATGAAAAAAAAAAACAACAAAAAATATGCCAGGTGCTGGTGGCTCATGCCTATCTATAATCCTAGCTAATCAGGAGTCTGAGATTTAAGGATCTTGTTTCACAGGCAAATCCAAGAAACTCTTATTTCTAGCTAGCAAAACACCAGAAGTGATGTGGCTCAAGTGGTAGAGCACCAACCTTGAGAAAAAAAAAAGCAAAAGCCTGAAGTTCTTAGCTTAGACCTTAGAACCACACACAAATTGAATGAATGACAAACACACATGTTCTATCAATCTGTGCAGAGGCACTTTCTGCAGTGCTGGGAATCGTTATTTTTATAATCCCATGGTGCCACCTGCTGGTCAGATTGGAGAGGCAGCCTAAGTCTTCAAGTACTTGGTGAGCCCTGTTTAAGGCACAGAGGATATGGTAGTAAATATACTGTTAGGGTATTAAACCCTAGTGGAAGAGGCAAACCTAAAACAAAGCAAGTGAAATAAACATTTTTCTTATCAATGTAAAGAATTAAAAATCAAGTAAAGAAGATAGATCATGAACTGTCAAGATGTGTGTGCACTTTTAGAAAGGATGCATGGAAGGAGTAAAAGCCAGCATTCTACATCCAGGGATACAGCCAGGGCAAAGGTCATGAATGCCTGGCATAAAGAAGGAATAGCAAGGAGGTCCGAGTGAGAGTAAAGAATCATGTAAGACATTGCTAGTAGAGTAAGAGTCTCAGCTGAGTGAAAACAATCACTTAACAGGACCACTCACTAGTGTGTTGAGAACACAGTGTAGGAGGTACAGGAGAGGGGCAGAAACAAGGAGTCTGGTCAACGGCTATACAGTGACCTCATTAGGAGAAGATGATGCTGGTGGACAGTAGGGGAAATCTGGGTGTAATTGAAGATAGAGGGCACAGAAATTGTGCTCTGGAAATTGGTATGAGCAAAAGAGTCCAGTATAGTAACTCCAGTCTTCCTGAGCAAATGGAAGGAGTAGTTGCCACTAATTCAAGTTAGAAGAGGAGCTCATTTTGATGGTGTAAGAAATGCTTATTAGACTTTCAAATGCAGGCAGTGCAGTAAGACAAGCTCTTTGAAATTAAAAAACAGCTGGTGGCCAGGGCTGAGTTCTCTTTCTCTTTCCCAGGAGACAAATGTCTTAGGCTTCAAGGGGCCTCGGAAGATGAGTGTAATTGTCCCAGGCATGAATATGGTTCACGAAAGAGTCTCTATCCGTCCCCGCAATGTGAGTCTTTACCCCACCCTGCCCATTCCCTCTCTTCCCAGCCTCTGCATGAACTCCTCAGGGCATGACTCTAGCTGAAGTGTGAATGGGTTGGGGATTCACACTCCTGAGATCTAGTAGTTCCAGAGATCTAGAGTGATCCATGAAGCCATTCCTGGGAAAGAGCTCTCTTTGGGGTTGTCATGATACCAAAGCTTGGGCCTGGCTCAGGTGAAGCTTTCCTCCAGGAGCACGAGACACTGCTAGCACGCTGGCAGAATAAGAACACAGAGACTATCATTGAGCTGCAAAACAAGACACCAGTCTGGAATGACGACACACAGTCCTATGTACTCAACTTCCATGGGCGTGTCACCCAGGCCTCTGTGAAGAACTTCCAGATCATCCATGGCAATGACCGTGAGTGTTTCTGCCCTCCTTGTCCTTAGAGTACCCACGGCCCTTAGTCGAGGTTGCAGCTCACCTAACCCAGTCCATAGCCAGTGCGCAAGTATGTAGGCTTTATGGTCTGTATTAGACATGATCTTTCTAATCATAATGACTGGAAAGTCTTAGAAGAGCCTTCTTAGAACCCTGGCCTTAGATTCTGTGTGTTCAGCAAAGTACTGGGCATGAAAACACTACTTAAATGGACTTTCTCCCCCCACCCTGCAATTTCCTGCTGTTTGTATGTATCTTTCCCTCTTCTGTGCTTCCTGATGCTTCTTTTCTACTCATTTGTTTTATCTCCTTTGGGATTTCTTTGGCATCTCTGCTTCTCATTTTTTACTTCCCTCTGTGGCTTCTGTCTTTCCTATCTCCACCATCTCTGCTCTTTTTGCTTCTGTGTCCATGCTCGTGCCGGGCCCCAGCGGACTACATCGTCATGCAGTTTGGCCGGGTAGCAGAGGATGTGTTCACCATGGATTACAACTACCCGCTGTGTGCACTGCAGGCCTTTGCCATTGCTCTGTCCAGCTTCGACAGCAAGCTGGCTTGTGAGTAAGAGGCCGCCTCGTGCCCTCTGGGGTTGCCCAGCCTGAAGTGGAGCTTGCCTGCCTGCCTGCCTGCCTGCGGAGACAGCCCTGCCTACCCTCTGTTCACAGGCCTTCTGCCAGATGAAGCTTGGGTCCTTGGCAGGGAGCGGCCTAACCAACCAGGAACTGGCTCCTCTGCCTCTACTGCTGGGGCAAGGGAGTAGCAAGTGGGTATTAAGAGATGAGAATAATTCTTTCTGTGCCCCAAGATCAACACACACCTCCATTTTTGGGTTAGTACCCTGCTGCAGTCATGTTTGCAATGCTGGGTTCCTCTTCAATGGGAAGGCCAGAAGAAGTATATAGGGAAAGGAAGCACAAACAAGGCTTGTGGCCCTGCCATCTTCCAGGCCTGGAGTCAGATGACAACAGGTGCCCCAAAAGGTAGGGGTATAGATTGTATGTGTGTATAGGGCACAGAAACTTCATGTAGCAAAGCACTTAGTGGCCAAGCCTGACCACTCCAACTTCAAAAGGCCCCATTCAGGCCTGATAGAAATTAAGGGTGGGAAGGGAGAGGTAAGTGACAGGAAGTGAGTTGCCAGGATTGCAGGGCTATCTGGGGCTGTAGAATCAGCTGGTGGCTTAGTATTCTAGCTCATTTGTCTTGCCAGGTTTGCTCTGTGCTTGCAGAAGCCAATGGGAATCCAGGTCTCAGGGCCAAATGTCTTAGTGGATAGGGAGGGTGCCCAAAAGGCTCCCTGAAGCAGGGCTTTCTTGGTAGCCCTGCCATTGGGCCCAGGAGCTGTTGGCTGAGCAACCCCACAACAACCCCTGAGAACCACAGACGGGTTACAAGTCACCAGTTCTTGCTGGCAACACACCATTCTCAAGCCATGGCATGTTCCAGGAAGAATGTCCTCTCTGAGGAAACCTAGCTTTCACTGCTGTCAGGAAAGCCATGGTGGTGAGGGCTACTGTGTGTGGTTCCCCATAGGAGGCAATGGAACAGGGTGAGAAGAAAGACTTTTAGGACGAGATCAGAAGTGGTAGGGCCCTTACTACTTTTGGTGAACCACACTGAGAAAATGGGACTTGCGCTGGGGTACCTAGCTGCTTAATGGGAGAGCCCCTTCGTTTTTCTTATTCCCTCTGTCCCCCAAAGAGCTAGTATCTCCAGCTCTCTCACCTACTGGAGTCCAGTCTGCATGCTCCATCCCCTTCCTGATTCCAGAAACTTAGGAAAGCAGAGTTGAAAGATAAGTTGAGAGACCATTTCAGTAGGGAATCAGGCAGTTCCCTGTTGGAAGCTGTTTTCTGCACTTCAGTTTGATTAGGACTGGCCTGTGCCTGGCCCCTCTATGAGGATTGTAGGGCCACTGCACAGGCAAGACAGGTAGTCTGAGTGTCCCAGGCTGGATCTGCTCCCTCCACTGCCACTGCCACATCTCTGGATGGCACCATTCACCTTGCGGGCTTGGGAACACTAAACTCTTGCCTATTTGTCATTTGCCCTGGCAGAGGCTTCTTGCCCAGGTGGAAGCTAGCAAACAGAGGGAAGCAAACAGTAAACGGACCTTGCTTTACAGTAGATATGCTTACAAAGATTAATAAGAATTTTTTTAAAAAATTCAAAGTTATAGATGGTAGGGAGGCTCTATAGGATACAGTGAAGAAGTTATTTTGGCTTTCGTGGAAGTAGTTGGCACTCAATTTTTTTGTAACCCAGATTTTCTTATGTGGAATGCTAGAAGCAAGGCACACCTGCTCTAGCAGAATCCGACCACACCTGGGACATATATTTCTGTGAGAAGTCTCTCCAGCAAGCCAGAATTTGTTAACATGGTCTACTTTCTAGAGATACTAGGACTTTCTGTGCTGGAACCAATGTATTTTCTGGTGAAAGACTGGTACCACCTTCTTTCTGTAGTCCTACTGTAGCCCTTCTTGATTTTTCAGGAAAACAATACATGTTGACATTAGAGATGATGGGAACTAAACGATCTCTAAAGTCTGGTCAGGTGGTTCTTGGACCTACAATTTTAAGGTAGAACAAGCTGCTTCTGGATTCTAGCAGCAGGGGTAGTAGAGTGAAAAAAATCAGAAGCACAATGGAAAACTCTTGGCCTCTGCTCTCTGCTTTAGCACAAAAAGGAGGGTGGCTGGATATTTCAGTAGATTAGGAAACAGCATAAACTTTATTGCCTGGGAAAGGGTAACCTCAGCACAAAATCCACTGTTGAACACTGAATGACATGCAAGAGCAATTGAATCACCTGCTTAAGACCACTCCTGGTGGAGTCTTGCTCTGTGGCCACAAGCCCATGGGCTTACAAAGCCATGAGGGCCCTGGGGACCACCTGAATTCAGTCTCTCCCACAGTAAGAGTTTTTATCCTTCGCACCGCTGCCCAGATGGTTTTGGACTGGGTAGTGAATTGGTAACAGGATGAGCTGTTCCTAAGCGTGCTGGGCAGCTTGGACCTTAGGAAGCTCCTCTGTAACTGCTTCTGGCTCTGCACCCCCAAATTCCATACTCTCTGCCCCAAAATGGTTCCTCTGCAAAACGGTGAAAGTCAATTTCCCAACTCCTCTCAAAAGTCTAGCTTTTCTTTCCTTCTGGCTCTAAGGTGCTCTGTGTCCATCTGTGTGTGTCTGTCTGCGTGTCTATGTGTATGTGGGGAAAAGGGCAATCTGCAAACAATCAACAAGTTCCTTAAGATCATATTTGTAAGGATGTGTAGGAAAGATTAAGGAGGCAGTTACAATCACCTGTGAATTCTGTCCCTTCATTTCATGCTCCATGAACAGAAGTCAACCTGGAGAATTAAAAGCTCTTTTTCCTGAGGTTCTGAGTAGGAAGAGAGTGTCCAAGAAAGTTAACAGTCTTTCAGTTCCAACTTGGCATCACCTGAAAAAACTGGTTTGTCATCCTTTCAGATGAATCTGAATATATTTTAATGATGGTGCCTTAAAAAACACACTTGTTCAGGGAAAGCAGGTTAATATTCAGACCCATGATAAGCACAGGTGTTGGGAGCCAGGGAGTGTGATAATGACATTCTATAAGACTCCTTCTAGTCTAACAAGATTGCATAGGAAAAGTTTCCTTCATCCTAGAAATAGGAGTCACCTCTCTACATAAACTTACTATTTATTTAGAGGTGTTTCTAAATTTAATTATGGATGATTTCAAAGCAAAAGATCATGTTTTGCTCAGATGGGGGTCAGCAGTGGGGGGAGGTGCTGAGAAAAGCCATGCCTGGCTCAGCTATGCAAGCACAAAATCCATATTCCTAGGTGGGCTTCCTGGCTTTCCTTTATGGCACTAACCTTGGCCTTCCCTTCTCTGTAACTCCCTGCCCATGTGCCAAGTGGCCATCAGAGCACACTTTTCCATAACTGAATGAGGGCTTTCTTGTGGTGTCTAGCACTGTGATTGGGGCCCGATTGCCCTGCCTGTAGAACTCTTACAACTCCAGGAACAGGCCAAGGGATGAATTTATGGCCACACATCCTTCTATACCTCACCTCCAGTTTTCATTTTTCTGTTAAGGGAAGAAGACAAGTATTAGGACAGGTTTGGTTCTTTAAATTCTCTAATCAAGTGGAAAGACAAAGAGGTCTTCTACAGAGTACTATTTTACTTAGTATCTATGTGATTTTTTTGAGTAAACAACATGATCTATTTCCTTAGCTACAAAATGAAGATGCTAGGCTGTCAACACTTGCTGTAGGATTTGGGGTGAATAAAGGATAGTCTTTGCTTCCATCACTACCTTTTCTAGCTCATCACTGTGCCTTCTTTCTTTCCTAAAAGAGACATCACACCCCTCTCTCTATTCTGTCTCTCCCTTCCCTTATTAAGGTCCAGGCAGAGCTGAAGATGAGGCTGAGGTCTAGAGTTTTCTAGAGAGCAACTTAGGATAGTTTAGAAGGGAAAGGCCAATTCTGGCCCCTTTGATCCTTGGTGATGGAGGAGACTTGGTTAGGATGGGTAACATCTGTCTTGGTGGAAACATATATTTAGCCAGGTTTCACAATGCCTAGAATGTGTATGTCTATTTGCACAAGATTGTCTTTTCCTATTTTGGAGTGGTCAGACATTTTATTTTTGTTCAAAATTATCTGGAGTTTTAGACAAACTTGCAAAACTGTGCTTTTATTAAGTGACTTTTTGAATAAACTTTTTGGTATTCTGAAGTAAATGTATTTATTTATTGGTATGTGCAATGAAAAACTTGGTATTTTCCCATATGACATTATGTATGTTGTAGAATTTAGTGTTTGTCTAAGTACAGACATATACCAACAAATTAAATTTGAATCATTTCAACACTACTGTGTCTTTTTTTCACACCAGAAGAGAAACATCTCTAAAATTTATCTTTTGAACAGGATCTTACTATGTCACCCAACCTGTCTCTAACTCAATCTTTCTGTCTCATTTTCCCAAATGCTGGCATTATAGGCATAGCCTTTTACCTAAAAATTCTTGTAATACCACTCACTCTTAGGAGCTGAGTGGCAGTGTGAAAAAGGGCATTGCTTGCTTAAAACTAGCAACACATAACACTTCAGTCCATTATCTGTGCCCTTTAAGGATCATGAAAGGTGGGGAAAAGTGGGAAAATAGTGAAGTTAGCAAATACTAAGTTAAGTAGTCCTCTTCAAAGTCATCTGAAGGAATTGGTTGGTGTTCCCAACTATGCCTTTTGGGCCTGGCCCTCAACAACATCATAGGGTTATAAAGTTAAAAAGGCCCAACTGGAAAGCAGTACAGGAAGACCCAGCCACTTGATTCCTGGTCTTGCTCACCCTTCCTCTCCCTGTTTGTTTGTTTTTTTCCTACCCTGTGGCAGATCTGAAGCCAAGAAGACAGGAACTAACTATAGTATAGTTAGAAACATACTTGAAAGCTTACCCAGAGACTAACAAATGACCCTGGGCCATTTTTGACCACAAGGGTAGACTTAAAAGGTATCAGATATGCCGGACGCTGGTGGCTCACGCCTGTAATCCTAGCTACTCAGGAGGCTGAGATCTGAGGATCGCGGTTCAAAGCCAGCCAGGGCAGGAAAGACCGTGAGACTCCTATCTCCAATAAACCACCAGAAAACCGGAAGTGGCGCTGTAGCTCAAGTGTTAGAGCACTCGCCTTGAGCTGAAGAGCTGAGGGACAACGCCCAGGCCCAGAGTTCAAGCCCCACGACCGACAAAAAAAAAAAAAGGTATCAGATATGACCAATGCCAGAGCTGGAAAACAGAGTGATGATTCAACTGTTAAGCTTCATGCTTAGCATACTTGAAGCACTTCAAAAACAGTATTTCACTTAATCCTAACAGCCTAAGAGGTGAATACTAGTTTCAACTCACACATAAGGATCTGATTCTCTGAGACTTAAGGAACAATCTTTGTATAAAGAAAATGGTGAGAGGCCAGTATATTTTATAAATGTTAATGTCCCCAGCAGTCACAGATTTGTTCATGTTTTTTTCCCAACATTAATGAATAGCTGACTCACTAATTTTTTTTCTTTGGACCACAAGCAGATCTAGATCAATGGTGGATTTAAGAGTGTGATAGTAAGTGGAGGCGTTTATCCCCCCAGATAGAGATGTTTAATGTGACCAAGGGCATTTCCTACCAGACCCATGGCCTATCTCCTGTGGCCTCTGTGGAAAAGATCATATGCAGGATATTCTAAAAAGAAAAGAGGTTTTTCTTTGTTTAGTCATATGTCCAGGATAATTCTGGTGTATACCTATTAATTAATGGATAATTATTATTAAAGTTTCCTTTTCCCAAAGTGTTCTAGTTTGGGCTTTAAGTTATTACCGAAGCCAGGGAAAGGTCAAAGAATGATTCTCACAGACCATTATTTCTAGATGCTTAATACAAAGGCCAAAGAATGATTCTCACAGACCATTATTTCTAGAAGCTTAATACACCACTTTCTGAAGCTAACAAGATGCTTTTCTTGTGAAGGGATCATGTGAAGGGACCTCATGGCTGGATCACTCAGCCTGATTTACCAAGCATGGTCCCAGGTGATATAGATATAGTTGGCATTTTTAAAGACAGCTATCTTTCCTAAGCAAACTATCTTTCCAGAGGTGTGACTGTGAACTCCATCATTTTGAGGTAATTTCAGACCTATGTCAAATAATTCATCAAGTTCTCTGTTCCTGGTTTTGCAAAAGCCAGTTCCATGATTTGGGTCATCCTGGAGATAAATATTCCTAGAAGAAACAACAATTCTGGAAAATTAAAAAAGACATCTAAACCCTAAATTAAATTACAATAAAATTTTTTTTTGTCAGTTGTGGGGCTTGAACTCAGGGCCTGGGCACTAGTCCCTGAGCCTCTTTGTGATCAAGGCTAGTGTTCTACCATTGGAGCCACAGCACCATTTCTGGTTTTTGAGTGTTTATTGGAGATTAAGAAGACTTCTCTGCCTGAGCTGGCTTTAAATGTCAATCCTCAGATCTCAATCTCCTGAGTAGCTAGGATTACAAGTGTGAGCCGCCACGACCCAGCTTCAATAAAACTTCTGATATATAACTCTGTAATTATATATACAGTCATATAACCTAACAACTAAGGACTGAGACACAGGGTAGGTAAGAGCTGTCATGAGGACTTAGTACTTCTGTCCAGAGTTGTTTCCATAAACCAGTTTTCCTCAACCACTCAAAGCGTTGTGTATGCAACATTTTACATACCAGCCTTATCAAAATGCCTAAACATCCATACACTCTTAAAACCCACTGCTTTTGCCAACATTACTCTTTCTGCCAAAAAGATCCTTTCTGTTCCTTTCTCATTTGGATTTGGCATACCACAAGATCCATTTCCTCTGGAAGTTTCTTGGAACTACTTTCGCAAAATTATTTTTTCTTCCCAGTGGCTCTGTACTTTTGAATCTATAAGTCAATCAGTATAAACTATAGTAAGACAACTACCACTAGGGTGGTAATTATATATAATCTAGAAATTATGCCATTTTATAGGCACAGATAATTTCATTTAATGCTTACAACCCTGGACTTCTACTACCCTTATTTTACAAATGAAGAAAACAAGATTCAGATGTCCAAAAGAGCTGACCCATGATTCTACAGCTAGAGTTTATAGAGGAATATCATCACCCAGTTTTGTTCATCTACAGAATTCACAATATTGAGCCTTTTTAATAGCTCATAGTTCCATCTTACCTGTCAGGGTCTTATATTAAATAAAGCTTTTTAAAGACAGGAATTGTGCCTTCTGTTCACTGTATCACTGAGCAGTTATCTACTAAATGAATTAATGAATGAAAAAGCAACAAACTAACCAAAGCACTTATCTGTAATACAAGTATCTTTACAATAAATATATAAAATAGTAATAGCATTTATTTTCAGCAGTCTGCTCCCTTTCAATTATATTCTTAAAATATTAATAAAGGTGCAGGGGGGGAGGGGGGAGGGGGAAGGAGAAGGATTGGGATGGGGGGAGGGGGGAGGCTGGGAAGTGATGTGAAGGGTAAACAAAGGAGGAGGCTGCAATGCTTGGTAAGAAATGTACGCATTATCCTGCCCATGCAATTGTAACCCCTCTGTACAGTATGTTCACAAATAAAATAAAATTTAAAAAAAAAAAGAACAAGAAAAATTGGCAGCTTGATCAGAAAAAAAAAGAATTATATTCGGGGGAAAAACAAAAAAAGAAATTTGAACCAGTGATCTAGGATAAAATCATCTCTCCTCAAATGACCCCCATGATAAATGAGAGAAAATCACAAAGAAAACAACTTACTAAAACACTACGAATGCTTTTTTTACCTTTAGTATTTGTACACTATATCTAGGTTGACTTTAGTACATTTTAAACTGTATTCTTTACAATGTAAATTAGATGTTCAATACATGTGATGCAAAATATTTTCTATAGACTCAATTCTCAATGTTTTTTTCCTCTAAAGTTTAGTTACTAATAGTAATGCCCATAGTAGCTAATAGATTGTCTTACTGCAATCCAATACCTTCTCACAGTTTGTATGCCAATATGAGTGGTTTTAACTATGTTCTTGACATCAGATTCATGCCAGGTACAATGAACTCTATAAAAAGCTGTAACTACCTTTACATAATTTCCTAATTCTTGTGTCCATCCCATTTTATCACTGGGAATGTCCTGGGGAACATGCCATCTTTAAACTTGCAAGTCTTAATTGTATAAATTGTATAAATTCACTCACCCTTGATGTTAAACAAAATTCACAGGTACTGTCTTGTCTTGTGAAAACACGTACCAATAGCCTTTAGTTTAGTCAAAATCCTCCCAGTAATCATAGTTTACTTCCTACTTGTCCTAACTCTCCCTGAAGCTCCAAATATTCAAATATAGAAAGCACAGTCCCTTCTAGGCATTGCTATAATGGTAATTCATACAAACAATGTACCTTCTCTGTTGAGCTGGTGCTCTGTATACAAGCTCAGTCCTCGTTTCTGTTTCCATTCATGTGGTTATGAGAACATACTTCTCAAAGATACAATTTTCAGACACTGTTTCTAGGCAAGGACTATTAAGTGCACAGATCCTCTCTCCTCTTGGATCCTTGGCCTTCTGAACAACTCATAGCAGGACCATCATTCATAGGCCTTCTTGTAGCCTCAACAGCCTCAAATCTTGACTCTGCAGAGAAAGGCTACCTAAAGTCTTTAAAGTTTCCTCAAGTCCAGAAATACTCTGAGCATGGAGGTTTTAAGCTAGAGATCCAGGCAATACTAAGAGCACAACAGTTCTCAAATAGGCCTATGGGGTCATGCCCAGGTCGGTAGGAGTGTTCCACTATGAAGGAAAAAAAAAGGATCTGAGATGGCATCAATGCTCCTAGAAAAGACCCTCTCTGAAAGGAAGAGGCTTCAGCTTAAGGGCAATCTTGTCCTGCCCTGGGCCCATCTTCCCCACAAACAAAACATTTTCTTCTTCCTAGAGGACCACTAACCTGCCCAAATAAGGCATTGTGGACTCTGAAATCTTCACTCTTGCAACCTTAAATTCTCATCATCTGTTAACTGATGTGCATTCACAGGTAAACTCCTAGCAGGAAGAAGCAGACTTTGCCCAAGTGGTGCCATCTGTAAATATGATATGCCTAATATAATTACTTAATGCATCAGATTCTGTTATAGGTAGAAAGCAGAAAAAGAATGAAGCTGTCTTATGTACACACTAATGTCTATGATTTACAAGGTGACAGGTGTGTGAGCACCAGGAAGGATACCATGGTGGCCTGATAGCTATGACATTCAAAGACAGAGAAGGACATAGAGGGCACAGCGCCAAGAATGAAATCAGAGAGAAAGGTCAACTTGGGACTACAGTAAAGGATACTTCACCAAACTGGCTGTTTTCACTCTAAAACCTGTGGGTTACGCTTCCTCAACATGCCACCTGTGTGTGCTTGATCAACACTGATGCCCAGCCCTTCATCTCTAAAATCTTGAGGCCAGTCTTCTTTAGTAATTTGCTCTTTCTCACTGAAGCTATCTATACTGAATCCAGCATTTTCTGCCAAGACAGCAGGATCTTCCTCTTCTTGAAAACAGCAGGGACATGTTTCTGGCTCTAGGTCATGCAAGGCAATAGAATTATCTTCCTGGACTCTGGGATCAGTAGGCAGATGTTCCCAGCCCAAATGGTCTGATTTCTCCCCTTCCATCACTCCCATTCTTTCAGCTATTTCTTCAGCAGTAGGCTCTTTTGGATCAGGGTAATCGACCAGGATTGTTTCTTGCCTGCGCTTGATGCAGTCTGAAAGGTCATAAATTGGGTAAGTCTCTTCAGGGTAACCTAGAAAGAAAAGTAGCACAGAGTCTTACAAAGACTCTTCAGAAAAAAAGTGTCAGTCTCACAGAGAATTCTCAGGCAACAGCCATCACATACTAATAAATCCATTCAAGAAATCTTTAATGCAATTCTAATTCTTTTAAAGTTTCACTTGAACAAATTCCTAGCGATCTGGCTGACTATCACAGTGCTCTTTGAAACACAAACCAACACAGAAGAAAATCCCTTCTTAAGTGCAGGGTGTTTGGGGCAGAGTTAAGTCTCACCCCACATGCTTCTGCCATGCTGATGAAGATTAAACAAATAACATGAGCCTTCAGCTTTAAAAAATGCACCAAATACCAGATGGATAGAGCTTAGCTTAAGGCTAATGTTTATAATTTCTAATTGGAACCATTTCCAAATCTGTGGGAGGAGGTTGAGGAAAGAAGAATGCTAAGCCTTTTGAAAAATACACCATGAAGCTTTCTATTCCTCAAAACAATTGAAATAGCTTGAATATGTCAGAAAAAGAGGCAAGACATGCCCAAGATCCCAAAGGACAAGCACTGCATTTTGAGAAGACAGAATCCCATTGTTGGCTTCTTCATACTCACAAAATGGAACAAAAGAAAACAACAAAGTGGTAAACAAAATGAGTAACACTGGTATTGAATCCCAGCTATGATAATGAGAAAAGAAGAAATGCTGCCAAATTAAGGAAGAGGATGAAATAAATCTGTGTCAGCCAAGCTGGTCTTGAGCAGCAGATGGGCTGTGTGGAGCTCATATGCCAACGCTGGCAGCAGTGGCCATGCTCACTACAAAATGTGGAAAGCCATTTGCACATTATGATAATCAGAAAATTCAACTCTTTAATATACAGCACTCTGGTCTACCAATTGTGAAAAGTAACAGCTTTTTTTAGGTACAGTATAAAGTATATAGAAACATTTTTATAACATTTACTGTTTTTTCTGATTATAAAAGTCATCCATACTGCAGAAACTTCAAAAAATACAGATTTTTAAAAAAGAAAACCATGCAAAATCTCACCACTGATAAAAACATGATATATTTACCTCTATTCTTTTTTGCCATATATAAACATATTTTTCCTATTTTTTAATAAAAATTGCATATGAAGTGTTTTACTCTATTTTTTCCATCTAACATCGTATTATGAGCTTTTTTTCTGTCTTTAGGCATTGGTAAACAGCCTATTATACAGCTATATATTGATATGATTTACCATTCTGTAAGACATTCAGACAGATTCTTTCCAACTTTCCCCTACTGTAAGTAACATAGTTAAGAGCTCTGAATATAAACCTAGATTCACTTCCCTAATTCTTAAGATAAGACTTCAATAAATACGGAAACTATTCCAAAGAGAATAGACATTTTAAAAGCTTATTTAATAGTCTGCCAAAGTACTTTTCAGAAGAGTGGTATAAAATTTCAACCTTACCAGTGATGTAAGAATTGTCCATTTTATCATGCCCTTGCCAACAATGACAGTACTAAAAGAATCTTGCCAGTGTATTTTTTGTTGCTAAGATTAACTTACTGTGGACAGAATGCTAGATAAGATGGATCTTAATTACTACTATGGTTATGGGTGTTTGTCTCCACAACTCATGTTTTCTCAGTCCCTAATGTCACATGCGGATGGTATTTGAAGGTAAAAGCATGAGAATAGGATGCCCACACACACAATGGCATTAGTGGTTTTATAAAAGGAAGAGAAATTCAAGTCAGCAAGCTTGTTCTGCCTTGCCAATATGATAGCCTCCATTATATGTCATGACCATAGGAGGCTGGCTGGATGCCAAGCAGATGCTGACACCATGTTCTTAAGACTTCCAGAATCATGAGCTAAATAAACCTCTATCAGTTACCCAACCTGTAGTATTCAGTTACAGAAACAGAAACTGAACTAAGAGAGCCACCTTAGGCCTTCACAACTTCATTGGTCAAGACTAGAAGCTGGGGAAGCTGGCTTGCTAGTTAGGTCTCAGCCACTAAATGCTTGAGGCAAATTCATTTGCTGGCATGTTCTTACCATCATCCTATACTGAGAATTAAGATTGCCTTTGGAATTCCATAACTATCTGCTTTAGCTTAAGAGGGAAAGCAAACCCAGCCAGGCTCCAGGCCTAACCTGAAAGCCCTAGGATTCAGTCCCTCCTGAGCATCCAGGATGGCTTCCATAGCCCTATTAGGCACACTTCAGAGCACCAGCCCTAGGACAGACATGTGGATCTCATTATCCTGCCTACACCTGGCAAACCCAGCCACAAGCTTCAGGTCTTCCCCAGAACCTCTGGAATCAGGCACCAAATTTACACCTGCTGACAGGTTTCAAGCCAGACCAGTCCCTATAACCCCACTCACTCTCCAGGCTGGGCTGGGTTTTCTGCATCTCCAGGTCAGCAGAACTAAGGTATAGGCCTATCTTAGTACCCCTAGTGCTGAGTTGTCCATTACAGCACCAGACTCAAAGACCTAGCTTTTTGGCCTACCACTGCAGACCCCCAAACTGCCTTGTACCAAACTAGACTCTGCAGACGCAAGCTTCAGGCAGGCCTATCCCAGTGGAACTGGCTATCAAGACCCATTCTAACACCTGGCTAGTCTCTTCAGACTCAGTCACAAGGTTGATTCTAATCTGAGGTCAGCCCCTGAGGATCTAAGCTTCAGGCTAGTCTCCCAGATACAGGCTCCAACTCTACTTCTGAGGACTCAGTCAACAGGTCCACCCCATGGAACCAGATTCCAGGTCAGATTTCACAGTTTCAGCACCAGGATGGCCTATATGAGAACCTGATTCATAAAAATTCAAAATTAGAAACAACCTAAGTGTTCTTCAACTAATGAATGGAAAAGCAAACAACAGATATCCTCCATATACTACTACTCAGCAGTCAAAAGAGAACTATTAAACCTCAACAACATCAATCTCAATCTCAAAGTCAAAGAAGTCAGAAACCAAAGCACATATGCAATATGATCCATTCACACAAAGAAAAACTATAGAGACAACGCAGTTTAGTTGCTGTCCAGAAGTAAGGCATTTTTCAGGATAATGCAAATTGTTCTATACCAAGACTATGGTGTGATTACACAACTGTATGCATTTATCAAAATCATCCAATGATACACTTAAAGTTTGTCAAAATTACAATACATATAATTTATATAATGAGTATACATATACATATATATTATACTCCACTATAAAACTGATATTTGAAAAATTAGTACGCTCTCATTTTTTTTTGTCGGTCATGGGCTTGAACTCTGGGCCTGGGCGTTGTCCCTCAGCTCTTCAGCTCAAGGTGAGCGCTCTACCACTTGAGCTACAGCGCCACTTCCGGTCTTCTGGTGGTTTATTGGAGATAGGAGTCTCACGGTCTCTCCTGCCCGGGCTGGCTTTGAACCGCGATCCTCAGGTCTCAGCCTCCTGAGTAGCTAGGATTACAGGCGTGAGCCACCAGCGCCCAGCTTACGCTCTCATTTGGGGACTGACAGGTAATGAAGAAATGAAGAGACACTGTTTACCTTCCCAGTCCTCCATGTACGGGGCTTCCTCTGCTTCCCTCTCTGGAGTAGATCTGTCGACAAACTTCCCTTCTTTCATGACCCTAGTAATTTCTCGGAGCTGATGCAGCAATTGTTTCTCTTGGTCGGAAGTCACAGTCTGTGCTCTGCTTGGAAATATCACACAATAGAGTAGGAAATACTCTTAGGCAACGGACAGAAACATCACTATGATTTGTCTATATCCTAGAGTAGCAAATCTGACACAACAATTATTCTAGGAATTGATCTTAAACTGGCGTATCTGGGGATTTGAAAACAATTGCCCAGAATAGATAAGTGACTGCTCAAGATCCCACAATGAGTTGCTATCAATACTGGGACAAGACCCTTATGCCTGAGCTTTTGAGGTCAGTGTTCTTTCATGATACTTTAGCAACCCAATTTTCTAATCTTCTGGCAATCTCACTGTTACACAGTTTTTCCTTTTACCACACTTACTCCTTTTATTGCTTTTCTCTGAGATAAAGTCATCAAAGAAAAAATGTTGTAGGCCATAAACATCAATCAGGAAAATACACTACTGGAACCACCAGATTGACTCTATTTTTGGAGGAATAAAGATATATCCTAGAATTCTAGATTTTGATGAATCTGAAAATTCAGTTATCCTAACCAGAGAGAAATTGGTGAAATAGGATCACAGAAAGGACATTATACACATTCATAGTGCTGGTTAATGGTAAAACTTCTAAAGGCATAGTGTGTGTGTGTGTGTGTGTGTGTGTGTGTGTGTGTGTGTGTGTGTGTGTGTGTGTGTGTGTGTGTGTGTGTGTGTGTTAGGGGACTGAACCTAGAACATGTTAGTCCAGCACTCTACAAATGAACCAGCCTAGTAATCAATTTCTAATTTAGAAAACCTGGTTTGAGTCTCAAGTTAGCTCTGTGGTTCTAGAAAAATATCTGTAAAAATAACAAGAGGCTCAAGGATAATAACATAACTAGTTTCTTTGAAAGGAAAGCAGTCAATCACTTGGGAAAAGCAGAACTACCTGAGCCAGGCAGGCTCTGGTAGTTTACACCTGTAATCATAGTTACTTAGGAGGTTGAGATCAGAGGATCATGGTTTGAAGCCAGCCCAGGCAGACAAATTTGTGAGACTCTTATCACCAATCAACCAGCAAGATAGTAAGACGTAAAAGTGTAGCTCAAATGGTAGGGTGCTAACCTTAAACAGAAATTCCAAGGGACAGTATGTGTGGCTTTGAGTTCAAGCCCCACTACAGGCACACATACACACACTCACACACACTAAAAACCCCATGTATTTTGACAGAAGTTTTTATCTAGTTGTAGGATATAACAGAGGCTGATTCTCTCCTTAAAACCTAAATCTTTACAAAATAACAACATTCATGGGGGGAAAAGGTGATGCACTCTGTACTAGCATTTTGGAGATGCCCTATTGTGGAGAGAAATAGATTCCTCTCTCTAGCCTGCCCTGGGCTTATATGTTCCTTTTCATGGCCAGACTAACACATTTCAGCCAAATTGATTAGTAGGGTGGAATAAAGGAATAAAAAGATGGTAACTGAGGAAAGTTCAGGTGCAAAGTTTCCACTGATCTCAGTGGGAGGAAAACAAAAACACCATGAACTCCACTTGTTCCCCACTAAATGTTTTGAAGCCATGTCCATTCATTTCCATCTTCAGCTAGAATCTGAGACTTACCCAGGGCCTCTTACAGCTTTACCCCTCCCATCATACACAACTCCTGACTCACAACTGTGCCTGTGGTCCACATAACACTTAACTCTTATTATTAAAACAACCCAAGTTAGGAGCTGTGGCTCAAGCCTGGAGTCCTAGCTACTTGGAACATGGAGAACAAGGAATTGTAATTTGAGGCCAGCCATGACACAGAAATTCATAACACCCTATTATGCTATGATGGCTGAGCATGGTGATACACACCTGTTATTCTCAACTACAAGGGAAGCACAAAGGCTGGGTGCAGTGGTAAGGGCCAGTCATCCTGAGCAACACAGGGAAGCACAAGTAGGAGGATCATGGTCCTGGCTAGTCTAGGTTTAAAGTGGGACCCTACCTTGGAAATAACCAGGGTAAAAGGAGCTGGAGGTGTAACTCAAATGGTAGAGTGATTTTCTTGCAAACATGAGGCCCTCAGTATCAAAAAAACAAAACCTCAAATTACTTTATGAGAGAATTGTAGCAGACTAGAAAGCTGGAAGGGCCTGTGAGCTTATCACAAACCTCTGGCATGCAGGCTTCCCGGCTATTTCTCTGAACTTTACACAGAGCATTTGGATGTTTACTGAATGAAAACTTAGTCTTGATTCTCTGCCTCCTAAAAATCATGGAAAACCAGCAGCCCTTAACTAGAAAAGACTTTGAGAAGCAGGAACAGAAAAAAATTAAATCTACAGAATCCTTTTAACTCTGAAAAAGTAAACTCAATATTTTCCTTTAGAAACATTATGCAATTAACCATTAGCCACTTTGTGACAGCTCCTAAGTTTGCTGCAATGAATGTTTTTGTGGATTTCTTACTGTTTTAGAATTCTTGGGGAGCAGTAATAATACATTTACAACAGTATAAGCACTGTGCTCATACTGTAATTATATGTTAGTTTCACTGGTTCTCATGTCTTCGTCATCTGTTTCCTTTTACTTCCTTAAAATCAGGTTTCCATTCCATCATTCCTAATTGTTAATTTATCTATATTGTGGATCATCCTCATTGAGACTTCTTTCACTCTGAGCCATGAAGATATTCATATTCTTTTCATTTAACAAATTCCTTCTAACACTGATCCCTAGCTCACTCTCCTTTTCCCATCTCCTAAAATATGGTTTTCCTGAAGGCTCATTCAGGAGATATGTAAAGCATATATCATGGGCACCTCTGTGAGGGCATTTTCAGAGGTGATTAACTAAGTAGAGGGGAGACTACGTATACTTATTTAAATCTTCTAACTACATGGGTGAATGTGGGTAGCACAATCTGGGAGGAGCTTAGGTGGAACAAAAGGGGAAAGGATAGGAAGCCAACTAGCACATATATTTTCTCTTCTTCCTATCCTCCAAGAGATGAATAGCCTCTGCCACATGTTCCCACTGCCAAGATGTTCCACCCAGAATCAACAGAGCCAAGAAGTATGGACTGAAATGTCTGAAAACATGATCAAAAACAAATCATTCTCTCGAGTTTTTTATGTCAGGCATTTTGTCACAGCACTAAGAAAAGCTAACGAATATTTTAGGGAAATTGAGATTGCAGGTAAAATAAAGGTTGCTGACACTAATAGGGAAATTACCCTGAGTTATCTGATAGAACACAATGTAATCATTAGGTCCTTAAAACTAGAATGAGGAGACAGAAGAGGTCAGAGTGATACAATGTGAGGTCTCAACCTACTATTACTATGTTTGAAGATGGAGGAAGGGGTACATATGCTGAGGAGTGTGGGCAGCTTCTACAAGCTGAAAAGGGCAATTAAACAGATTCTTGAAAAGGGAATGCAATCTTACCAACACTGTGATTTTCACTCAGAATAGGCCTTTTAGCCAAGGAACTATTAGATAAAAAAGACAAGGTAATTTGTGTAATGGCAGTTAATACTGTTCCTCAAGCACACTTCATGTAACACCTGCCATTGGTAACATTATGGAACTGTGTGGAGCAAACAAAGAGGCTCCGAAGAAATTATTATTGCGTATGCCACCTACTTTATAGTACTTTTCTCCAAACTTACCTTATTTACTCTTCCAAGTTGTGCTGGCATCATCAGTGTGCCAGCATGGGGACTACAAGTATCAACAATAAAAATTCTGTCCTCAAGAATGTAACAGGTTATTCAGGAAGAAAAAAGTTAATAGAAAGTAATGTGATATACACACTACTCAGGAAGCCCAGGTGGTGTGGGAGTGCACAGAAAGAGCGCCTAGCCAAGTTCTGTGGATTCGGGAAGGATTTGCAGAGAAAATTGTATCTGTGTTGACTTACTAAGATGAGCAAAAGTAAAAACAGTAAAAACAGATTTATTACACATGCTCGTTTTGACCAAATGTGGTCCAAAAAATAATCATGTCAAAAAAGAAATGTCTCAAAATTTTCAAAAGCAGACATTTAATAGTCTCATGAACACATTATTCAGCTTTGTGGTTATGCAGAAGCTATCAGTCAGTTATATGTTACTATCAGTTGTGTTAAAATCATTGTATGATCTGCTGTTTCCCTGACTTAATTTTGTAAAAGTTTGTTCCGTAAGAGCAAACTGCAACTTTGTACAGTGGCAGTCCTATAGCCAGTGAGGTTTATCTGAGGCAGGATTTTTTTTTTTTTTTTGTCAGTCATGGGGCTTGAACTCTGAACCTGGGCACTGTCCCTCAGCTCTTCAGCTTAAGGCAGGCACTCTACCACTTGAGCCACCAGTTTTCTGGTGGTTAATTGGAGATAAGAGTCTCACCGGATTTTCCTACCTGGGCTGGCTTTGAACCTCAATCCTCAGATCCCAGCATCCTCAGTAGCTAGGATTACAGGTATGAGCCACCAGCACCTGGTGTGAGGCGGGATTATTGCTAATTGAATTTTTTTCCTGTAAGAGTGAATTGTGTCCAGTAAGGTAAATAAAAATCTTCCCACGCCCAAAAGGGTACATAATGTGTTTAATTTTACTTAATAACAGAAAATTTTTAAGATTTGTTAAAAGGCAGTACATCTAGTGATATTATGGGTGAAATGAATCAAATGTCAGTATTTGAACATTTTTTGAAATAAAGTCTAGTTCCTTGGTGTGTAATATTAATGTGTACAATAGTAAATTTTTTGATAGTCATATACGCTTCCCTACTTCATGAAATTCCAAGTTATAGATGCTCAGACCTATGCTATGTACAATATATGTAAATCTGAATAATTAAAAAATACTGAACTATGAATCCTGAATATTCAATGTTTTTCCTCAACAATGGTCTCTTTGGAACCATACACTCATGGATACCAAGGGTCTAGTGTATGCAGAATCTTAGTACCAAATGTGAACAGAGATTCAGAGAAACACAAGTAGTCCGTAGAGTTGGACTAAAGGCAGAAAAGAGAGCACTAGAGAAAACTAAAGCAATAGAATCAGACAAGGCCAGATCA